CTACTAAGCCACTTACAATCTGCCTAAGAGTTTATTGTGCTTCTCTGAGACTTAATGTCTTTATCCAGAAAACAAGGATAAGTAATATTTGCTCCAACTACATCAAAGGACTGTTACAAGGATTAAAGGGAGGCAAAAATATTTGGTAAGGGTTTCTACTAAAATAAAGGTTTTTTTATATAAAGAATCAGAACAATGCTAATAAACTAATCAATTATCATGCTCTTGGATGGAGTGGGAAAATATTTCTTTTTTGCCAGCATATTAATGCTTGTAATAAATCCCTTCTGATCACTTAACTTTTGAAGTAAAATGAGATGTGAATCTACACATGTTGTTAGTGTTGACTACCAGAAGGGATACTTATGTGTTCTCCAGCAATATATTATAGGAATGAAAAGATTTGCCTGGATTTTTCTATGTGCTTGAGGAATTTTATAGGACTATGATTTAAATTTTTATTTCTGATAAGGAAGTAAATTTTAGTAAGTGGTTCTCTAAAGGGAAATCATATTATAAACATTGCATGAAAGAAACAGAAACTTTAAAAGCTTAGTGTACAGTTTCTCCTATTACACTGAAGTGTATGAAAACTAATGGTAATATCTGTGAAAGTTTCATTGAAGGGGTGGTAGTTTTCAGCAGCAAATGTAGTGGCTGTAGTAGTTTGTTTTTCTGAGCAAATGAACTATTGAAATTGATTAGACTACCAACTGAAAGAGAGGCTTTATCATTATAATTTATCTACTTTATAAGTTTGTTGTGAAGATGAAATGATATAGTGTAAGTTAAGTGTCTGGTATATTTGGTAGTTATTGAATACTCATTAAGTGGTAAATGTTATTGTTAATTTGATCATATTAATCATTATTAACAATTTATACATGAGAAAAGTGAGATTTTTTTTTCATCCTCTAATTTCAGGCACTGAGTTCTTTTTTTTGCACCCTACAATCAAAAGCTCAGTCTTAGATAAGATTCATTTCTGAGTGTGAAAATGTCAGTGTTCCTTCTCCCATAAGGGTCTACATAAGTCTAACTTGTCAATATTTAACAACAGGTTATATTCTCTGGGAAAAGGTGTTAAGATTTCATACACATACATATGGAATGAGGATTGGACCCTCTTATCCTAGTTTCTCAAAATTTCACTACCTAGGAAGCCTCAGGTCTCAAGGTAGTACTGTCGGAGCAAACAATTCTATATAATAGGAGCTAGTGCTTCTTCCTTAGGCAATGCCTTATAACTTGAAGCTCAGGAAGATGGAGGTAGAGGGATTTTAGAAGTATATGACAATAAAAAAAAATATGATAGAGTCAAAGTAAGGGAGGATTGAACATGAGCTCTTGGAATATTATCTTTGCTTTCTAAGCTTAGGTATTGTAGGGTTCTAGGACACCATAGATATAAAATTCCATAGAGATAATCTAGATACATTTTCACCATTAAAAATCCATTTTTTCTCTCCCCCCACCACACATAGTAGCATAATATGTAAAGCATATATGAAGAGTTGTTAATTGAAGATTCTGACCTTCCTTCCACATTAAGGCATCCCTTAAGTGTGTTAGGGGGATCTTTATAGCAATAATTTGAAAATTATTCATCTAATTTATCACTTTTATTTTTAAACAAAAAAGTGGTACCCAAAGAGAATAAAAAAATAACCAAGTAGTTACCGAATGACCAAACGGACACTCATATCCAGGTCTTCTGATTTCCAGTCAAGTTTGCTTTCCTCTTTATAAATAAACCAAAGTAACATGCTATTGTTAGAATCAGAATTACTCCTTCTCCTTCTCCCCCCTCCTACCCAGTTCTACTTCCCCTTCTTTCTTCTTCATCTCATCATTGCTATCAACCACCGCACCCATAAAAACATTTATCCACATTATGTGTGCCAGAAGTGGCATGGGCGCCTTGATAATGGCTTGAGGTAGTATTACTTTATTACTGCTTCTAAACCCTCATAAATGAAAGCATAAACTTCTGCTTCTGACCTCCAACTTCCACAGGGCTCATCTGTCACACAACTACTACCAGTCATTCATCATTTCTCACCTGCGATCCACATAGACGCTAAGATTCATGGAAAGATGGAAAGTACCAGATATTGTTGAAGTGCAATGTGAGTCTGAAACACAGATGCAATTTATGTTTTTCTATTGTTTTTCATCCCTTAGATATATTCAACTTAAGTTAATTGAAAAAAGGAGGCTAGAATTTTTTTTCATTTTTTAAAAAGATTTATTTATACACACATACAAGAACTGGGGTACAGGCCAGATTTGCGGGACGGTGAGAGGGATTCACCAGAGACAGAGCGGGGAACAGAACAGGCAGACTGACTGAAATACATTGCTGAGGGGAGCAGCGGGCGAGACAGGATAGGTTTTCCACGCCACGTGGGTATCTCCCCGGGCAGCCAGGATCAAACCCACACTGCAGAGGCTGCGGACAGCTTCACAGCACTGTGCTCAACCGCTTGTGCTACCAGGGAAACCCAAGGAGGCTAGAATTTTAAGGTCACCCAAGAGCTCCTGAATTTAGCCATATGGGTTGCTGCTGTATAGTTATTATTTTTTCAATTATGAATATTTCTTTCTGACAAGAAATGACAAGTAATGAGAATGTGGAGAAAAATGAACTCTTGTACATTGTTGATGGGAATGTAAACTGGTACATCCACTGGAAAATAGTATAGAGATTCTTTTTAAAAAGTTAAGAAGAGAAATACCATATAATTCAGCTATCTATTGCTGATTATTTCAAAATTGAATTTATAAGAAAACACTAATTTGAGAAGATATATGCACCCTTATGTTTATTGCAGCATTATTTACAATAGCGACGATGTGGAAACTACAAAAAATATTCATTGATGGATAAGTAGAAAAGAAGATGTGGTATATACATATAATGCATAGTATTTAGCTATAGGAAACATGAAACATCTCGATTTGTGACATGACTGTACCTAGAGGGTATTATATTACGTGAAATATGTCAGATAGAAAAAGATAAGTACCATATGATTTCACTCATTTTGAAGATAAAGAAACAAAACAAATAAAACAAATGCAAACTCTTAGATTTAGAAAACATATTGGTGGTTACCAGAGAGGGGAAAGGTTTGAGGGTGTGTGTGAAATTCGTAAGGGAGTCAACTGTATGATGGTGGCTTAAAAGTACACATTTGTGGTGATGATAATATAGTATATATAGAGGTCAAATATAATGATGTATACTCAAAGTTTATATAAAGTTTTAAATCAATATTCAACAATTTTTAATAACTTTAATTTTTAAAATTCTTTTTTTTTTAAGATTTATTATACAAGCACTGGGTACAGTGAGAAGCGCGGGAGGGTGAGAGAATTCACCAGAGCCAGAGCAGGGAGCAGACCAGGCAGAGGTCCGAAGTACACTGCTGAGGGGAGCAGCGGGCGGCAGGAGAGATCTGCATGCCATGTGGGACCCTCGCCCAGTGGCTGGGGATGGAACCAGTGCTGCAGAGGCTGCGGGCAGCTTCGAAACCCAGCGCTCAACCGCTGCACCACGGGGAAGGCCCAATTTTTAAAATTCTAATAACTTTAATATATTTTTTTAAATGTAGGCACACACAAATATTCCTGTGTATTAGAACCTTGAGACTACAGTGATGATACCAATGGAACATATTATATGTAGGACATATATGTTATTTACCCTGGTTACATCATATAGTATTTACACCAAAAAATATGAAAGATGTTAGGAGGTCATACCTCCAAGAATGTGCTTTCAAGCTGCTGAAGGTCTAAATCATTCATCTATGATGATAGCTATTTTATTGTTTTTAAAATGCAAAGTTTCCACTGTGCATTGTGATATTTTATCAACCAATGAATGAAAAAATTATTTACAGACCAATTGCTTTTATAACTCTCCAACATGACAAGTGTTCAAATGTTTCTCGAAAACTCTTTTGTAAGTTTAGCCACAGCAAATAAACCATTTTGTAATTTAATATTTTCCATTAATTAGATGTGAAAATTATATAAAATTTCAGATGATTCAAGATCTGTTACATACTTAATACACTTAGAACACATAAGACAAATAATATGCCAAATTTAATGGCTTTGACCCTAATGGTATAAGACTTGGTGTGAAAGCAGCATACTACTGAATGTAGTATGTGCTAATTTTCTGAGAGTGAGGTTCTCTTCTCATAGATGTGTTTATTGTAGAAAAGAAAGAAAGGCATTTTGGATTTTCATGTCTGGAAAGAAAAATTGATCACATGAATAGTTTCTCAGCTTAACGTGATATTATAAACACAATTCTGAGGAACAGATACAGAAAAGAGTAGTTAAGCTGAGGATGTTTTCCCTAAGGAAGTTTTACAATCATTAAGAAACTGATAAGGTTCTGAACAATGATTTTCACTTTAACTTAGAATGTATTGGAGCAATTCTCTTTTTAAGGTTTCTTTTCAGCTCTGTTATTAAGGGAAACCATGGTGAATACAGTATACAAGACTTGAGGTGTGATGATTCAGACTCACATTGTAACTTGCCACTTATTAGAGTTTTTCAAAGACACTTCTCCATTTGTACAACCAGATTTTTACTCATACTTTTTACAAATCACAGGAATATATATCTCATATAGATAGAAAGAGAAAGAGAGAATGAGCATGAGAGTGAGCTCATGTGGGAGGTCTTAGTGAACTAAAGTCTAAACAAATGTTAATAAATTATCCATCAGTATTTCCAAGACTGCATTCATCCTTTCCCTCACCTAATTCCTAAGAACTTTATGGTTCTTATGACTCAATATTGAAGTAAAGATAATAACAATAGTGATCTATTGAGTGCTTATTATATTCCAGGTAATGTTTTTAAGTGATTTAAATGAAATAACTCATTTTTTTCCTCACAACTATCTAAAAGGTAAAAAAAAAAATCGTATTTGAAGCTATGCTTTTCAATATAGATCAGAAAATAAGATTCTAGTGTTTGTTTTTGCAGCACATATACTAAAATTGGAGTGATACAGGGAATATTAGCATGACCCCTGTGCAAGGATGAAATGCAAGAAAAACTGCCAGCCAAAAATACTCTATCCTGAAATACCCTCCTTCAGATGAGGGAGGAATAAAGGACGTATTAGACATAGAAAAGCTAAAGGAATTTGCAAACACTAAACCACCCCCCAAAAAATATTGAAAGGTGCTTACACATTGAAACCATAAAGAAGAATATACCAAAAGAACTAAGTAAGGAACTAGAATAACTCACAAAAATTAAGAATAAAATAGCAACAACAGAGTATCACATATTAATAATCACTTTAAAAATAAATAGACTGCTACGAATGAGACCATCTGTTATTTTTCTTTTTCTTTCTGGCTTATTTCACTGAGCATGATCCCTTCCTGCTCCATCCATGTGGCTGCAAATTGCATGAGTTTATCTATTTTGATTGCTGAGTAATATTCCACTGTGTGTGTACCACATCTTCTTGATCCAGTCATCTATTTTGGGGCATTTGGTTTGTTTCCATAGCTCATTCATAGCAGGAATTTAGAAAACCTAAATAAGGGACCAGGGAAAAGACTAATTATAAGGAAGTAAAAATCAAAATCAACAAGCAGCTATAAACCAGAGACACACTATGGGGCTGGGGGCAAGAAGGGTGTAGGATCAAAACAAGGGTGGTGGGAATTGCATGGGGACTATAACCAAGATGAAAATGCATACATTGTGCAAAAATGAAAAGTGCTGTAAAATATATAATATTAAAAAAAAATTAAAAAAATAAATGGACTGAACTCACCAATTAAAGCACAGAATATCCACTTGGATCAGGAAACAGAATCCAACAATCTGTTGTCTCCAGGAGACACACCTAAACCCCAAAAACAAACCTTCTAAAGAAGGCAAGGGCAGATTTAATTATTTCAGACAAAATAGATTTGCAGTTCAAAAAGGTAACAAGAGACAGGGAGGGGCATTATATGGTGACAGAGAGAATGGTACATCAAAAAGACATAACACTCATCATCGTACATGCACCAGTGAAGGAGCACCAAAATACATTAGGTAACTACTATCAGCTTTGCAAACAAGCATTGGAAAAACCACATTTGTGAGAGTAGACTCCAATAACCCACTCTCATTTTCTAGACAGAAAATAAACAGGGATGCAATAGCCTTAAATAACGAAATAGATCTCTTGGACTTCACAGACCTATAGAGGACATGGCAGCCCAAAAAGCAGAATACACATTTTTCTCAAGAGCACATGGACATTATCAAGAATAGACCTCATTCTGGGACACAAAACAAATATCAATAATTTCATGAATATTGAAATCATACGCAGAATCTTCTTAGACCATAAAGGTATCAAATTAGAAAACAACTATCAAAAGAGAACAGGAAAATATTTTAATACACAGAGACTGAACAAGACACTACTGAGAGACCATTTTGTTAAAAAGGAAATCAAAGAAGAAATTAGAAAATACTTGAAGATGGTGAAAATGAACACACAACCATATAAAACTTATGGGATACAGCAAAAAATGTACAAAGAGAAAACTATATAGCAATACAGGCCCACATCAAGAAATAAGAAAACTCTCAAATAAACTTCTCTCTCACGTACAGGAATTAGAAAAAGAACAAACAAATCCAAAAGCCAGTAGAGGGACAGAAATAATAAAAATCAAAGCAGAAGTAAATGGATTAAAAATTAAAAAGGCAGTCCAAAAGATCAGTGACCTTGAAACCTGGTTCTTTGAAAACATAAACAAATAGACAAAACTCTAACAAGACTCACCAAAAAATTAGTGAGAAATCTCAAATAAATATTATAAAATTGAAAGAAGAGAAGTTACAACACACACTGCAGAATATCAAATGCTAATATGAGAATACTATGAACATTTATATAAGAAATTCAGTAACAGACCACATGGACAAATTCTTAGAATTATATAAAATTATCAGAGACTGAATAGGGAAGAAATAGAAATTCTGAACAATTGACTTGCAAGGAAATTGAAACAGTAATCAAACTCTCCCAAAAACAAGAGTCCAGGACCAGATGGTTTCACAAGTGAATTCTACCTTACCTTCAAAAATGAAGTACTAGCTACTGTGCTCAAAATCTTCCAAAACATTGAAAAAGAAGGAAAACATCCAAATACTTTATTTTATTTTATTTTTTAAATATTTATTTTATTTATACAAGAACTGGGGTACAGGCCAGATGTGTGGGAGGGTGAGAGGATTCTCCAGAGACAGAGCGGGGAGCAGAACAGGCAGACTGACGAAATACACTGCTAAGGGGAGCAGCAGGTGAGACAGGAGATGTCTGCTCGCCATGTGGGTTGCTCTGAGGCCGGCAGGGATTGAACCGGCACTGCAGAGGCTACGGACAGCTTCACAGAGCTGCGCTTAACAGCCTGAGCCACCAGGGAGGCCCCCAAATACTTTTTATAAGGCCAACATTACTTCAATACCCAAACTTCAATACTTCAAAACCCAAAGAAAGACAGTACGCAAAAAAGAAAATTACAGACCAATCTCCCTATCAAAATAAGCCAGAAGGAGAAAGACAAACACTGGATAGTTTTGATACCATAATTTCAGGCCTTGTCTCCCAGCCAGGAACAGATCCCAGGAGGCAGGGGCAGTGCTGAGTCCCAGGCACTAGACCACCACGGGTTGATGTCTCATGAATCCACAGCAGGAACTTTGCTGATGCTCAGGCAAGCAAGCAAAAAGAGGCAAACTGGTTTAGAGAAATATATGTAAGAAAAAAGTTTATTAAGGAGAAAAGGAATGGAAATAAAGTGGGACTCCCAGGCCCGTGGAGCCAGGCCAGGGAGGGGCAAGGAAACTGAAGTGGATTCATGCCTCAGAGATTATAGACCTTTTTGCCTAATTATCTTAAAGCCCCATCAGTCTCTTTGTGATCGGTTAGTTCTCAGTAGTCTCACTCACTGCCTAAATGTGTCTGTGACCAGAACTAAGTCTTGTATCCCAGCCCTTATCTTGGAGTCCTTTTTCTTTATCATCCTTGTTCCTGAATGTTCTCTTGCTCCTAGTCCTGGGGTGTTTGATTAGTCCCCACTGGAATTTGTTGTCCTTATCTCTGGAGGCTTCCTTATTTCTCCTAGGCTTTTCCTATTCCATTCTGACCCTAGAAATTATCCACTTGCCCTATAACTCAGTTTCACTTATATGTGGGATATAAAGAAACCAAACAAACAGTCAAAGACAAACTGTAAAACAAACCCTTGATATCTGACCATAGATCTGAGGCATCCAGGAGAGAAGGGGGAGGAGGAGGGAGAGTGCTGAAAACAGGGGGTGGGAAGAGCTCAGTGGACAATAGTGGAGAACAATTGGTGAATTGGTGGTCAGAGAACTGTGGTGCCAATACCTGAGGGGAGAAATCCAATGCTGTGAAGAAACTAACAAGGACATAAAATTATAATACTTCATTATACAAAAAAGCATAGACAAAAAAGCACTATAGCATACATAGCATTCATCTTTTAAAGTAATTGAAACTAAATATATGAATACAATACATAAATTATAAAAAAAGAAAATTACAGTTACAAGAATTGTAATTCTAATTACTGTTGTTGTTAAGTCTTATCTAAGAATAGTTCAGTTAAGGCCTATGAAATTTTATGGAACTGGCTTCCACAATAGCTTTGCCTATATCTGTAATTTATTAAAGTAAAATAAAATTAAATAGTAGACAAAATTAAATTATTATTTTTAATAATTTATTTTATATAATTCTTACATCATTTTTCATTTTTGCACAATGTATGCATTTTTCATTTTGGTTATATTCCCCATACAATTGCACCCCCCTTTATTCTGACCCTAATCTTTCCTCTCCCTACCACCCCCCAGTCTGTCTCTGGTTTATAGTTGCTTGTTGATTTTGATATTATCTTTCTTATAGTTATTCTTTTTCCTGGTCCCTTATTTAAGTTTTCTAGATTCCTGCTATGAGTGAGACCATCCGGTATTTTTCTTTTTCTTTCTGACTTATTTCGCTGAGCATGATCCCTTCTAGCTCCATCCATGTTGCTGCAAATTGCATGTGAAAAATTAAATTATTTTAATGATTATAAAATATCAAGGTAGGGGCCTCCCCGGTGGCGCAGCGGGTTGAGCGCAGCGCTGTGAGGCTATCTGCAGCCTCTGCAGCGCAGGTTCGATTCCTGGCCCTTCAGGGAAATTCCCACAGGGCGTGGCAGACTGCTCCTGTGGCGCCCGCTGTTCCCCTCAGCAGTGTATTTCAGTCATCTGCCTGTTCTGCTCCCCGCTCTGTTTCTGGTGAATCCTCTCATCCTCCTGCGCCTCTGGCCTATACTGCAACTCCTGTGTAAAAATAAGTAAATCTAAAAAAAAATAATAAAATATCAAGGCCTATTTTTAAATGCAACATAAAATAATATTTGAGAGAAATGTCTTCTTGGCTTTTAAAGTTTGACTCATTTTATATAGTAATCTCTTTCATTATTTTTTCAAATCCTAGAAATATATGCACTTAAACCCGTAATTTCCACCCAATCACTTCCAATAACAATTGAATATTGTTTAAGTGAAAGTACATGAATATCAAATGTTACAAAAAATGCTTAAAAGATATCATAAAAATATAGATAGAAAAAAAGGATTGGTGTTAGTTACTGCTATTAAATTTTGGTCTTTTTCTGGCAGGCAAATGACAAAGAGAAGCATGTTGGATTATTAAATTTCTTTCATCTGTTTTTTTTTTTTTTCTCAATCATGTTTGAAACACATGTTAAAGAAATTTTGTGATTAACAAATTTTGTTGCTGTATACTTAATTGAAAATCCCCAAATAAATAACCCAAATGTTTTTATTGTTATCTAAATCTATCGTAAGCTGACTTTTTTTCTTTGATATCTCAAATTTTATAGATTAACTCTTTTGGTGGTAGGTATCTTTAAGTTATGCAACTCTCTCCTATTCTATTGTACCCACTAGTGCCATCTAGTGGAAAGGAGTGGAAATTGTGGGTTTATGCTTAAAAAGGTTTAGATGCTAGTAATATTT